AATAAAATGAGATTTATTCTCATCCCATAATTTGTCTGCATCAGAAAGATATCCAAACACACATATATATGCAAAAAGTTGCCATAGTTATTTGGGCATATTAAGAATGATCACATCATTAATCATATCTTTCCAGATAGTGTCGTCGATTAATAATCCTCGATGTTTAGCAGCTTCATGAAATGTATCATAAATTACACCTCCTACAGTTCGCAGATCAGCAAAACTTACCGCACCTTTTACATGCAGAAGCAAAAGTCTAAGGTAATATCATTCTGGTTCTTTAAAGCTCACAGTGAACAGTCTACCTAATACTTTATTCCTGTCCTTTTGGCATTTTCTCCATGAAGAATTATTAAACACATAATGTTGTGGAATCTCCCAATAATAATAATTACCTGCATCAGAGTCTTCTCTATTCAATAAGAACCAAGCCATCAAAGTCGAGTTATGCCTTTTAGCCCTATTTATAACTTCAGCAAAATCATCGGTATAAAAATGCAAATTCTAATCATTTGGCAAATGAGTAACTAATCTTGTGATTGCATGAGATTGGTCATGCATTCACATTGCAAAAAGTCTCCAAACAGCCTCAAGAGTGCTCACATACCTGGAGTCAATGAAGTCCTGTACTTCGTCATGATTGATAATATTTTTTTCAGAAATTTGGATATTTGCACAATCATGCCCTTTATAGACACGTATTTAAATAAATATTTGACACTTTTAATCGATGTGCACTTCAACATTTATATGACAGTTATATTTAAGGCACAAGTACGGGTTATAAGGGACACTCTAAGTGTTATCAACAACTTTATTTCCAATAGACATCGTGCTACCAGATCTTCATTTGTATTTGGGATATCCATCAATATTTCCAACAGTTACATTTTGAAATTCTTTTGGATGTCCCTTTGAACATTTTCCGTTTTCCATACATGGACTATTTGGATCTTGTATTCTACATGGTCCATGTATCATATTTGATTTTACAATTTGAAAAAGTTGAGGACACTGGTCTTCATCTGGAATTTCTGTCTTAACTATACCAGGGGTCCTCAAACTACGGCCCATGGGCAAATACAAATATTGTATTTGTTCCCGTTTTGTTTTTTTACTTCAAAATAAGATATGTGCAGTGTGCATAGGAATTTGTTCATAGATTTTTTTTAAACTATAGTCCGGCCCTCCAACGGTCTGAGGGACAGTGAACTGGCCCCCTGTTTAAAAAGTTTGAGGAGCCCTGAACTATACGGTCAATGTCATCTTCCGTTCATAATTTGGATTCACTACCTAATATCAATAATATGTGAGCATGAGGCAGTCCGCGTTTCTGAAATCAATGACATGAATTTTAGCTGTAACTTTGCCAAATAAATTGAATTTACATGTATGATTTAAAAGAGCATTCAGCTTAATATTAAAAACCCTGGCTATCAAGTCAGGTCTGTTTTCAACTTTTTGCCAGCATTGTAAAGTGTTTGTAATATCTGCCCAGTTTGGATTGCACGTCATGGTTATGAATAAATTGGGCTTGCCATACTTCATTACAATTGCCATAGCATCCTGATATCGCTGGTGCATATTTCTGGGACTACCCTCAAAAGATGATGGAAGTATTATCATTTTATCAATTGGCACATTGTCATTTTCAGATCTAAATGTGAGATAATCCATTAAACCACTATATTTTTCAACTATCATCTTAAGATTGGTTTGCTTGAATGAAATTTATCAGATTGGCTTCCATTTTTTTAATATGAATCAACAATAAACTGTTGAGTTAATTTTTCTGCATTTAAAATAGGATTGAACGTGTCCCACACAGAGAGATGAAATCCATATTACTGCTTTGTGTGACATCTAAATGTGAGATAATCCATTAAACCACTATATTTTTCAACTATCATCTTAAGATTGGTTTGCTTGAATGAAATTTATCAGATTGGCTTCCATTTTTTTAATATGAATCAACAATAAACTGTTGAGTTAATTTTTCTGCATTTAAAATAGGATTGAACGTGTCCCACACAGAGAGATGAAATCCATATTACTGCATTTGTGTGACTCGTGTCCTTACATTTTGTCTAGTATTATTGTCGATTACACTGTCGTCTCTGAGTCTTAATGCAATATCCGTTCCCCAGACTTTTTCACCATGTGGAAAAAAAATAGGATATGTCATCGCATCTAATGTAGGAAACAGGATACTGATTTGTTTCATTTTAGTGGCATTCAGATTATTGGTATTTGGTTTACAATGAATGAGCAAGTCCCTTTCAAAAGGAGGCTCTCCATCTTCGTTTCTGAATATGATGGCAACTTCGGTTATACAGGGATAATTATATCTACCTGGATCACTATTACAATCATATTTAATCACCATTGTTACATTCGTGTGAGCAATACCTTTCGCTGCTGCTTCAGATTGGGCTTCCTTTTCTACCTCATGTAGCATCTTGTATGATTTTGTTAATTCACTTATTTCATGCATGAGGTTGTTGATGCTGATCATGAGTCTTTCTGAGCAGCCCTGGCTTTCTGGCATTGCTAACCTTTTACTCATCGCTTCAGCCATATCTAAAATATAGAGTTGAGCAAACTTCCGAGAAACACCATCCGAAGGATGTAAAGTTCCAGTAAGGTGATAAACTTGTCCGTGTATTCTAAAACAATATGGCCCATATCCTGATGGTGATGCAATATTTGAACCCACTGAAGCAAAAGCAAAAGAACTATTTATTAAACAAATATTTTCCATGAATTTTTACTGTGAGAATCTTCATTTATCATTAATTTTTTTAAATATGCCGAGTATTCTGGAAAATGTATATCATTTGGACAAACTTTACCTTTGCTACAACATTGAGTAAATTTTCCATCAGATGGTTTTTCATTGGAGAAATTTAGTGATAGGCAAAATTGACATGTAACAGTCATTCCACCACAACTATGTTCTATAATTGCATCCTCATTTACTCCATTTTCACTGTGAAGGCAGTTCCTACCAGTATTGGTAGTACTTGTTGATGACTGTTCTTTAGACATATTCTGTCAATGATGCCTGCTTCTTTCAGCTTCAGAGGTACGTTGTATCAATAGTTGGTCTTCAGAGATATTCTGTTGATGACACCGGCTTCTTTTAGCTGCAGAGATACATTGTGCCAATAGTTGGTCTTCAGATACATTCTGTTGACAATGATGCTTTCTTTTGGCTTCAGAAGTACGTTGTTCCAATAGTTGGTCTTCAGACATATTCTGTTGACGACACCACTTTCTTTCGTCTGCAGAGATACCTTGTGCCAATAGTTGGTCTTCAGATACATTCTGTCACCAACACTGGCTTCTTTTGGTTTCAGAGGTACTTTGTGCCAATAGTTTGTCTTTAGACATATTCCCTCCTCCCTCCTGTCAGGGTCCGGGGTGTGGATGAACGGTAATCTGGGCTGTCAGGGCGCCGACAGCAAGTGGACCAACAGCTGATTCCACGAGGAATGGGGCTCTTGCCAGCCTGTTGTCAGAGTCCGGGGTGCAGGTATCCAGTTCCCTCCTCCCTGCTGTCAGGGTCCCCATTGCCGGTGAATGGGAATCTGGCCTGTCAGGGTGTCAACAGCAAGTGGACCAATGGGCAATTCTGCAAGGAATGGGGCTCCCGCCTCCCTGCTGTTGGGGTCTGGAGTGCTGGTATCCAGTTCCCTCCTCTCTGCTGTCAGGGTCCCATTGCGGGTAAAAGGGAATCTGGGCTGTCAGGGTAACGACAGCAAGTGGACCAATGGCTGATTCTGTGAGGAATGGGGCTCCTACCACCCTGCTGTCAGGGTCCAGGGTGCAGGTGAATGTGATTCCGGACTGTCAGGGCACCGACAGCAAGCTGACCAATGGCCAAGTCCATGAGGAATGGGGGTCCTGCCTCCCTGCTGTCAGGGTGCGGGGTGCAGGTGAATGGGATTTGGGGCTATCAGGGCATGGACAGCAAGGTCTGGGTCAGTGCTTGTCATAGCTACCTGCTGGGCATCTGGTCGTTGGTCACTCTGGTCATTACACCATAACGGTTGCTGGGCTTTTATTATATAGGACTAGGGGCCCAGTGCACGAAATTCGTGCACTGGGTGGGGGGGTAGTGTCCCTCAGCCCAGCCTGCCCCCTCTCACATACTGGGAGCCCTCAGGCGTTGACCCCCATCACCCTCCAATTGCAGGATTGGCCCCTTAGGCCTGGGCAGGGAACCCCCAGCTTCCTGTGATCTCCCGCTCTGCCCCTGCCCAGGCCTTACGCCTCTGGCCAAGGCATTAGGCCTGGGCGGGGGACCCCCAGCTGCCCAGGATCGCTGACTCCGCCCCTGCTCCCCGCAATGGCTGGTTCCGCCCCTGCCCAGGCCTAACGCCTCTGACCGAGGCATTAGGCCTGGGCTGGGGACCCCCAGCTCCAGGCGATTGCAGGCTCCGCACCTGCCCAGGCCTAACTCCTCTGGCCAAGGCATTAGGCCCGGGCAGGGGACCCCTAGCTCCCCGCAATCTCCCGCTCTGCCCCTGCCCAGGCCTAAGCCTCTGGCCGAGGCATTAGGCCTGGGCAGGGGACCCTCAGCTCCCCGCGGTTGCAGGCTCCGCCCCTGCCTAGACCTAATGCCTCTGACTGAGGCCTTAGGCCTGGGCAGGGGACCCCCAGCTGCCCAGGATCGCTGATTCCGCCCCTGCTCACTGTGATGGCTGGTTCCGCCCCTGCCCAGGCCTAACGCCTCTGACCGAGGCATTAGGCCTGGGCTGGGGACCCCCAGCTCCAGGCGATTGCAGGCTCCGCACCTGCCCAGGCCTAACTCCTCTGGCCAAGGCATTAGGCCCGGGCAGGGGACCCCTAGCTCCCCGCAATCTCCCGCTCTGCCCCTGCCCAGGCCTAAGCCTCTGGCCGAGGCATTAGGCCTGGGCAGGGGACCCTCAGCTCCCCGCGGTTGCAGGCTCCGCCCCTGCCTAGACCTAATGCCTCTGACTGAGGCCTTAGGCCTGGGCAGGGGACCCCCAGCTGCCCAGGATCGCTGATTCCGCCCCTGCTCACTGTGATGGCTGGTTCCGCCCCTGCCCAGGCCTAACGCCTCTGACCGAGGCATTAGGCCTGGGCTGGGGACCCCCAGCTCCAGGCGATTGCAGGCTCCGCACCTGCCCAGGCCTAACTCCTCTGGCCAAGGCATTAGGCCCGGGCAGGGGACCCCTAGCTCCCCGCAATCTCCCGCTCTGCCCCTGCCCAGGCCTAAGCCTCTGGCCGAGGCATTAGGCCTGGGCAGGGGACCCTCAGCTCCCCGCGGTTGCAGGCTCCGCCCCTGCCTAGACCTAATGCCTCTGACTGAGGCCTTAGGCCTGGGCAGGGGACCCCCAGCTGCCCAGGATCGCTGATTCCGCCCCTGCTCACTGTGATGGCTGGTTCCGCCCCTGCCCAGGCCTAACGCCTCTGGCCAAGGCGTTAGGT